GTTCCTAGAGTTTACAAAAACAAAATGAGAGGCAGATCTTTCAGTTCTCAGGCTCCTCTCTTGTGGAACCAACTTCCAATCTCTGTCCGTGAGGCTGACACATTGTCCAGTTTTAAAACTGGGATTAAGACTTTCCTTTATGATAAATCCTATAGTTAGAGTTTAGGTAACTCTAAATTGTCCCTAGGTGTGAGTGAGAGAGTGAATGGTTGTTTGTCTCGTTTGTCTCTATGTGTCCCTGTGATGGACTGGAGACCTGTGCAGGGTGTCCCCCGCCCCTCGCACAGTGATTGTTGGACATGGGCACCAGCGACCCCCATGACCCAAAATGGAATAAGCGGGTAAAGAAAATGGATGGATGGATGAAATAGTTTCAATAACTGCTTCATTCTCTGTAGTTTCAACAACAAACTGCTTCAGTCTGTTGTTTCATTCAATCAACCTTTATTTAGACAGTTAAATCCTATTGAGCCTCGAGGACTCATTTACAAGAGAGACCTGATTTCAACAAAGAAAGATGACAACAATGAACAACAGCGACAACAAAAAACAGTTATAAAAAGTCTTACTACAATTATTTATTTATTTATTTTTATAACAAATAGGATGGCTAAAAAAGGTAACAAAAAACAGCTAGATTCTAAGGCGAATATAGAAACTAAAAACAGGAACATGTCAGCATTGGTCCCTGCCAGGAGTCCAACAGATTCTTAAAGCCACTTAGAGAGGTCAAAGGTCGAGAACTTCAGATCTTTTTACAAGATATTCCAAGAAACAGGAGCGGAGTAGGAGAAGGTCCTTTTGTCTAGTTCAGTCCTCACTGAGGGAACACTGCAGGTAATGATGTCCTGAGAGCGCACGCTGTAGCTGCACTCACACAGAGACATGTAGGAGGAGATGTATGAAGGCAGCAGACCAAGAAGTGATTTAAAGATGAAAATGTACCAGTGAGAGAGACTGTGTGAAGTTAATGGTGACCAGTTAACCAGTGGATACTGGGTGCAGTGGTGGGTACGGTAGTTACAGCCAGTTATGGGGGCCGAGATGGTGTAGAGGCAGGGCAGCCAGCTTGGGACCCGAAAGTCCCAGGTTCGATCCCCAGTCACTGCACATCACGTGGCGTCTCTGGGCAGCACGTCTCATCCCCAAAATGTCCCCCGGGCGCTTTCAATAGCTGCCCACTGCACCACCTGGTGGTGGATGGGTTAAATGCAGAGACTAATTTCGCCATTGTATGGAAACATACAGTGCTGACATTGTGATGACATTATTATTATTATGAATCTTAGTGCACCGTGATAGACAGCATCCAACATATGCAGCATCCAACATCTGCAGCATCCAACATCTGCAGGGTTCTTGTAGGAGCGTTCATGTAAATAATGTCACTGTAATCAATGGAGGGAAGGAAAGTCACAGATACAAGGCGTTTCCTAACATTCAGGGTTAGACAGGATCTGTTTCTGAAAAAGAAACCCAGTTTAACTTCCAGTTTCAGTTTCAGTTTCAACAAACTGCTTCATTCTCTGCAGTATAAAATAACTGCTCCATTCTTTGTAGTTTCAACAACAAACTGCTTCTTTCTTGGTAGTTTCTAACTGGAGGTTAAAGACCACTTCAAAGATGTCAGGAAACACATAATCTGAAAACCAGAGTAAATAAAAATAATCAACTGAGGAACAACACAAAATCTGTTATAACAACAACAACTACAACAATAATGATAATAATAATAGTTCTAATGATGACAGCAGGTTCCAGGTTCTGAAACAAAGAACAGAGAGTCGTCTGCAGAAAGAGTGATTCATGGTGACGTCCCCTGACGTTCTGCTGACTCAGATGATCGTCACAAAACAACTGATGCTGGAACTCACACACACAACCTCCCTGTGTGTTCCTGTGTGTGTTTGTGTGTTTCTGTGCATGTTGTTAACTCTGTTCCTGTGTCAAATAAGCACGAGATCCTGAACTGTTTCAACAAACATTTTGTTGCTTCTGGTTCTTTATTTGACACAGCTACTAACAGAAAATCAGCCACTTCACTTAATAACCAAACTTCTACAAATCAAATCCCTCCTACAAGTCAATCCTCAGTTAATCACAGCTTCTCTTTTTCTCCATTCTCAGTCAGTGAGGTCAATAAACTGTTAAAAGATCTTGATCCTAAAAAATCTGCAGGTCCAGATGAACTTCCACCTTATTTCTTAAGGCTGGCTGCTCACATCATCTCAGTCCCTGTGACCCACATCTTCAATCTCTCCATGAGACAAAACTCCATCACAGACACTTGAAAACAGCCTTTGTTCTTCCTTTGCTGAAGGGAGGTGACCCCACCTCACTGAACAACTATGGACCAATCTCTAAACTCTGCATTTTAGCCAAGGTTCTAGAAAAACTGATAAACTCTCAAATCAAAAATGACCTGGACTCATTTAACATCTTACCTCCACATCAATCTGGTTTCAGGAAACAACACAGCACAACCACTGCTTCACTGAAGGTTCTTAATGATGTTGTTGAAGCACTGGATGCTAAAGATTATTGTGCTGCACTTTTCTTAGACCTGTCTAAAGATTCTGACACTGTGGATCAGAACATCTTGTGTCATAAACTCTCAGAAATTGGTTTCTCAGATCACACCAATGGTTGGTTCTCTAACCATCTTTCAGACCAGAGGCAATGTGTTCAACATAATGGTACTTCCTCCAGTTATTTAACAGTCAACAATGGTGTACCACAAGGCTCAGTCTTAGGACCCACCCTCTTTACAATCTACATACATAATGTAGGTAAAAACATCCCTAATGCATCCATACATTTCTATGCTGATGACACAGTTGTTTATTGTCGAGCTAAAACAGTTGATAAGGCTTTCCAGCTTTTGAAATCTGCATTCAACTCCATCCAGACAGATTTGTTCCGCCTCAAACTTGTCCTAAATGCCGACAAAACCAAAGGGATGCTTTTTTCAAATAGGAAGTTGGTCCCAGCAGTTCTTCCTCTGATTTTATCCTCAAATGGTGTCCCCATTGAGTTTGTTGATTCCTATAAATATTTGGGTATCTTGGTCGACTCACATCTCTCTTTTAAGCTCCATGTGGAAAACTTGGTAAAGAAACTGAAAGTTAAACTGGGTTTCTTTTTCAGAAACAGATCCCTGAATGTTAGGAAACACCTTGTATCTGTGACTCTCCTTCCCTCCATTGATTACAGTGACATTATTTATATGAACGCTCCTACAAGAACCCTGCAGATGTTGGATGCTGCAGATGTTGGATGCTGTCTATCATGGTGCACTAAGATTCATAACTGGCTGTGATTATCGTACCCACCACTGCACCCAGTATCCACTGGTTAACTGGTCACCATTAACTTCACACAGACTCTCTCACTGGTACATTTTCATCTTTAAATCACTTCTTGGTCTGCTGCCTTCATACATCTCCTCCTACATGTCTCTGTGTGAGTGCAGCTACAGCGTGCGCTCTCAGGACATCATTACCTGCAGTGTTCCCTCAGTGCGGACTGAACTAGACAAAAGGACCTTCTCCTACTCCGCTCCTGTTTCCTGGAACATCTTGTAAAAACATCTGAGGCTCTCATCCTTTGACCTCTCTAAGTGGCTTCAAACATCTGTGAAGTTCCTGCAAGAACCAATGCAGATGTGTTCCTGTTTTTAGGTTTCTACACCACTTTATAATCTACCTGCTTTTTGTTACTTTTCCTTTTAATTAGTATTTTATTTTAATTTGTAAAAAAAAAAAAAACGTGTATGCATTATTTTTTTTAAAACTTTTATTTAAACAGGTAAATCCCATTGAGCCTTGAGGACTCATTTACAAGAGAGACCTGATTTAACAAAGAAAGATGAAACAATGGACAGTTATAAAAAGTCATACAGATTTTTTTTTTTACAAATAAGATGCCAAAAGAGTAACAAACAGCTGGATTCTAAGGTGAATGTAGAAAACTAAAAACAGGAACATGTCTGCATTGGTCCCTGCCAGGTGTCCAACAGATTCTTAAAGCCACTTAGAGAGGTCAAAGTCACATAAATTCTTTATGATTGTTGTTGTCTTTGTTGTCCACTGTGGTCATCACTCTTTGTTTAAATCAGGTCTCTCTTGTACATGAGTCCTTGAGGCTCAGTGGGACTAACCTGTAGAAATAAAGGTTGAATGAATGTTCAAACTCCTCCACTGACGCGCACGTCCGTTCACGTGTACGTACACGTGTACTGTACGCAGAGGGTTCAGACTTCGTACTCCAGCGTCCACCCCGAGCAGCTGCAGAGCAGCTTCACAGACAAGGGGCGTTTACCTTCAGGACAAACTGAGGTCGCCGATTGGTCATTTGCTGACACGCCTACTGGATTGATTGACAGGTCGGGGAAAAAAAACAAGTGCTGGCAGCCTCTGCCACAGCGGTGTTCTGTGTTTATATGTTGATAAAAAGATCTAAAAAATAAAAAAAACCAGGGAGCGCTGGCTCTGCAGCCCACACATCAGACCAGCCCACCAGGAAATCTCCAGACCCTCCTGCAGCCACACTGGACCTGAGTTTAATTTGCTCGTGACAAATTCCTCCATTTCTCACCATTTCAGTCATGGCATCAACGGAGGAGGAAGAGATCACTTGCGTCTTGGCAAAAAACAAAAGAAAAGGCCAGATCAGGGACGAAGAAGAGGAATTTAATACATTGGTGTTGCATACAAAACAGTTCGTTGCCGGGCAGTTTATTGTGCGACACTGCGTACGCGTATGTGGTCGTAAAATTTGAGCTTTGCATGGACATGCCCTGGGAGGTACGCTCGTACCTCCGCGTACGTACGTGCGTACCTCTGCGTATGGACGTACGCGGCAGTATACTGGGGCTTTACAGGCTTCAGCAGCAAACACTCCAACAAAAGCAGAACGAGGGGAGTCGTGACAGAGGCACCCTGGGAAATGAAGTCCCAAACTTCATCAGGCCAGATGGCCACAACAATCACTGCACTCACCCGGCCCACCTCCACCAGGTTGGTTACCATGACGATGGCCGCAGTGTTCTCCTGCCACACCATCTTCCAGAAGTCGTACACCGTCTCCTGCATGGGTCCTGACACACACACACACACGGCGGGTAAACATGATATCAGATGGCTGATCAACATGAATTTTAATGACTGCTTTAATTAATTTAAATGAGGCGCACGTACGCACGCACAATGTTTTTAATCACTGTTGACGGGCTGTGCTTAGACAAACTAATTAGTTCATGCTAATCAATTCCTGCTTTCAAATTATTTTACAGCACACGCACACACACACACACACACACACACACACACACACAC